TCCCCCCCCCCCCAATCATTCAACTTAGACAGAAACATTAATCTTGCTCTATTCAAATATGTGTTGAGCATGCTCGTCCATGGGACAAAATTATGTACCCTTGGCTTAGTCATAGTAATGAATTGTGACAAAAAATGGCCATGATTGAGTAATTCTAAGATTTGATTGATCATTAAACATTACATTTTCTAAATCAACATCCTATCTGTTTTTGCATGCTATTAGGAGAAACTCTAACCAAACCTCTTTTCCCGTACACAATGAGTGGAAAAGGGTTAAACATGTCAGGCTTAGTGCTGCTTTGTTCTTCGCAAGGAGACTTCCCCTGACATTCCCTCCTTATAATCATCTGTCACCAGGACAGGAAGTAAAGGAAATCTCCCTAGCCGCGAGTACACACAGCAATAAAACATAACCAAGGTGTTAACCCTGACCCATGTAAAAACGGATATCTGTCTTTGTTTAATACTAAATTGCGTATTGGCAATGCAGAAATTCTGGTCCTGCCAGAAAGTCTAATATTGCTGAGAAGATTGTGGGCTGGAGGGTATTACTGTTTGGTCAATTTACTTATCATTCTTTAACATGCAATATTCATGAAAATTAATGTAATTTATAATATTAATCATAAGGATTTTTAATACGTTGATCACATTAAAACATGCTCACACCACTACAGTGGTAATGCGCATGGCACAATGAGGTGTCATGTATTCTGAATGGAAACCTAACACACCTTATAAGCACTCTTGCAAGGCAGCACAACACATAGCAATTCACTAACATGTGTTATGGTGCGCTGTACCGCCAAAAATTTTGCATGTCTGATTTCTGTTTCATTAGGGTGTGTTAAGCAGTCTATTCACATGCATGGGCTTCCTTAATGCTACACACGTTAGCGTGCCACATGTGCATTTAATGCAGTGCATCAGACAGGGCTGGTGTGAATGGGCCCCTGTACTTTTTAAAAACTTACTAAACTTATCATCACTTTTAATGCAAGTAAACTTCTGCCTTTCTGTGCCCATGTTGAGTGAAAATGAAAATATTACCAATACATTCAGGTGACAGCTCTACTGAATGTAGCAGATGACATATTCTACAAACCAGAAAACACATGCTCTGAATA